CCGCGCCCAGCGTCCTCCCGGAAGAGCCCGCCCCTCGCCTCGTTTGTCGCTCTCCTATTGGTCGAACGGCGGCCAATCAGGTTGATTAGAGAAAGAGAGGGCGAGAGAGCAGGGAAAGGGAAGAGCCAATGGGCGCAGGTGTTACGGTCTCCCGGATACGCCTGTAAACAGTGGCGGCTCAGCGGGTCCGCAGTTCCCCTGGCCCGAAGTAACCGCCTCATGGAGCGAGGGTCCCAGAGTTTGGTGCCCGGCTCCTGGGTGAGAGAAACACCGCCCATGGCACAAGGCCGGGAGCGAGAGGACTTGGCCTTCTCCGTTGCCACCGCGTCCCTGAGTGTGAGGTGCGGCACCCACAGCTCCGCGACTGACCGGTCTCCTGGAAATTCCCAGCCTGCGTCTTTTCCTTACCCTCCTTTCCATCCCATTCTTTAGAGCAGCTCCCCTCGCAATTCTGACTTCGCTGGCACACCCCAACTCATTCCCGTAGACTCTCCCTGTATGACCTCGTCCTTCCGACCCCCCTCTTCCCATTCCCTTGTCTGGACCCTGACACTTGCTCCCATACCCTGTATTTCTCCCTTGTACCCTTCTTTCTGCCTCCTCTTTCTGGCTCAGTATTCCCTTCAGTGATTCGGTTCCCCTTACTTTTCATACTCACTTCTCACGCTCACACCCCGCCATCACCTCTCTTACTTTTCCCCAGCCCCCCACACGCACCCCAGGGGCAGCTCTCATCCCGTCTTTGTTGACTTGGTGATTTACCCCAAAGCTACAATCTCCAATCCCTTCCTTCACTCCATCCACTAACTCGGTTTATTAGCACCGAATGTGGCCTTCGAAAAGCATATAGCACTGCAGCCATTCACAGAGGTGGTATTTCTTTCCTTCCGCGTTCTAGCGTGTTACCGGCGTTCGGTTTTATACAGCATCCTCACCAGCCCTGTTGTATCCTGTAGTCTCTTGACTGGCCAGTCTCTTGCTGACCAAACTTGGGTCCTTCATTTGCCTTCTTCGCCATCTTCAGGCATACTATTAATAGTTAAATAAAAGTAAAATCTCCTTCATTTCAGATTCTCCTTCCCTGTAGCATATGCCTACCCCACACCCCTTCCTTAAAAGCCTGTTCTTTTTGTGCTCTAACATCTTCAGTTGGTGTGAATTTCATTCCACTTCTCTTCTGCATTTATCTGTGTGTTTAAGTCTAAAAAAATGGCTGCATATGTTTCATCTGTGTAAGGAAGCATGTTTCCCACTTGGCTTATAACCTCAAAGCATGCTGTCCTACTCAAAGTTGTTATTTATATATGTATTTTTAAAAAAAGGAAACGCATGGTGTCACTCTGCTGTGATCCTCCTACTTCAGCCTCTCAAGTAGCTGAAACTGTAGACACCACCAAATCTGACTCTTAGGACAGACCAGGAATCTACTAGGCTTCCCATTTGGCCTCAGCTACACAACAGTATCTTACCAGCATGTGCCACAGTGCTGGGCCTCAAAGTTGTTTTTGAAAATGTATTTTTAAAATAACTAGTTATAAAAGATTGGCTCAGGATACATCCTGTTTTCTAATAGAATCAAGCTCTTTTTTCACTATTGTTTTCACTCTTTTTCTTTCATCTATACAAGGCTTCTGAAATCTTTCTAAGACTTTTTCAGGTTTGGTCAGAGGGTTTTATTAAAAAAAATTCTCCCAAGAAGGCTCTTAGGATCTATGGAACTTTAGATGTTCATTTAAATTTCTATGATTCATTGATTCAAACTGATCTCACAGCTAAACTATGTATTCTTTTATCTTAAAGAATGTTTTGCGAAGAAAAGGGATGAATAGAATATGTGTCAAAGATTTTGATGACTTTTGTTTTCCTCGTTTTAAAAAAAAGAAAGTATTTTAAATGTATTATATTGATAGTGATATATCTTTTCCCAAAGATGGGTACAAGCTTTCCCTAAGCAGAATGTTCATTTTGTCAACGACAACACCATTTGCTACCCTTCTGGGAATTATGTGATATTTATTAATATTAAAACCAAGAAGAAGACTGTACTCCAGTGTATTAATGGAATTGTGGGCGTCGTGGCAACTAATGTTCCCTATGAAGTTGTGGCTTTTTCTGACCGAAGGCTAAAACCCCTCATCTACGTATACAGTTTTCCTGGATTGATCAGAAGGACCAAATTAAAAGGTATCTTGAGGACCCTTTCTCTGCCATAATGGAAGGATTTTGTTATAGAATAAGAGCACATCTGGTTCTTATAAATGTATTAATAGTTTGTATTTCGAAGGTTTTCTTTTTTTATAATCCATTTTAAACATTTCAAATTGATCAATGAGGATTTAATTAAGTGGAGTAGAGCTTTATTATTCAAAGTGTGGTCTACTTACCAGCAACATTGGCACTATTTGGGAAGCGTTTGAGAAAGGCAGAAAGTCAGGACCAGCAGATGGCATGATGGTTACTTCATTGGACTCCCACATGGCTGACTACAGTTTGAGCCCCTGACCCGGAGGCTTGAAACTCACACAGGCATGTATATTTGCATGCCCAACATCCCTAGAGGAGAATGGAGGAGAAGGGATTGTGGCATAACCATCCCGCCTAGGGGGTGATTTCTCATTGTCTGTCTTTCTCTCTCTCTTCAGTGAACAAATATCCCCACTAAGCAAAAAATCTTTGGCTAAATACATTAATTAATTAATTAATTAATTAAAGATAGTAACTCAACTCCCTCTCAGGCATACAGAATCATAGTCTGCATTTTAACAACATTCTCAAAGTTTAATGATTCATAGCTTTGTTAAACTTTGAGAAGCCCAATTCTAGAAGACTCTATTACAGCAATCAATGCAATTTGAAAATATTTTATAGAACACGTCCTTCTCACTGATTTATCGAAAGTCCAGGTGGATTGATGTTTGATAACTTTCTAAACACAAGTCTTTGAGTCTGAATTTCCTATTCTGTGAAACAGGGATAGAAGTAATATTTAATAAGGCTATAGTGCTAATAGATGGACACACATACACACACACACACACACACACACACACACACACATGCACCAGTGCTCAATCAGTATTATTTGCCATTTGAATTATCGTTGACTCATTCATAAATTCAGTTGACCCAGTCTGGGCTGTTGCACTTTTACTTTCCTGGAGCCTCCGTCTGAATGATTCTGTTTTCTACTAGTAATATGTCTTGGACTAAAAGTTCAGGGAAGCTTGAGGCTGGTCTTGCTTAGTTCTGTAACCTATGAGTCAAACAAAAGCTTAAGTCAAACCGGGGAACTTTGCTATAATTTATAACACTTATTTTTTTGGAAATTTGTCTGTATTTTCAATATATTAATAAGGCAACTTTTAAAACACAACCTATTCTCACATTGAGAACTATGTGAACTACAACTACATTTCCTCTTTAAAATTTCCCCAGCTTGGTTATTTGACTATAGCCCTGCCCAAGGAAATGAATTCATTTAGGACAATAGCCAGCATTCACATTGAATACTGAAACCCTAAAGGAATTTACAATGAAATTAAGACTAAGTCAGCAAGGCTACCTGTTATTACCACTTTTATTGTAGCTGTTCTAACCAATGCAGCAAAGCATGAAACTGGGGAAAAAAAGATGTAGCTAAGGGAAAAAGACACTATGGGTAATGCAGAAGTCTAATAGGACTAATGAAAGAATGCTTGGTAAGATGCTTGTTTTAAAATGAATATCCTTCCTATTAGAAGATGTAAACACTTGGAAGTAATTCAAAGAAGAATTGAGTGACTTAGATAAAGAAAACTACAAAAATCACTGGTTGACAATAGTTAAATAGAGACATATTCCTGGATGGAGAGCTGGTTATTTTAAAATGAATATATTTCTGATATATTTCTTTCACAGAAAGTAATTCAGAGGTTTATTAAAGAGTAAGGAGTACTTAAATTATTCCAAAGTTCATTTGGAAAAGAAAAAATAGAGAATGAGAAAAATTTGAAAGAGAATGATGGCAAGGCTAAGGGACATTTTAACATTATGGTACTGTATTAATTAGGAGGGTGTATTGGTGTAAGGATCACTAGGTCTGTGGGAAAGTTGAGGAAGAGTGAGGGCAGAATCTAGAGCACATAAAAGTTAAGTACATGATGGGAACCAGCAGTTAGCGTAATGGCTATGTCGCTGGACTCCCATGTAGTCGACCGCGGTTCACGTCCCGGACCTGGTGGCTTAGAACTCACGCCGGGCACGTGTGCGTGCATGCCCAAGATCCTGAGAGGAGAATGAACGAGAAGGGATTGCGGCGTGCCCATCCCCTCTGGGGGGTGCTTTCTCGCTTTCTGTCTCTCTGTCTCTCTCTGTCTGTCTGGCAAGCGCACGCACCCTATAGTGAAAAAAACCTCTCCAAAAAAAAAAAAAAGATAAGTACATGATGAAAGAAACACACACCCACACACACACACACACACTGCAGGATATGGATTATCCAACAATGGCATTAAGAAAACAATATTTGGGGACCAGCAGGTGGTGTGGTGATTAAGGTACTGGACTCCCACATGACCAACCACAGTTGGAGTCCCAGACCTGAAAGTTTGCTTTCTCACTTTCCCTCTCTCTTTCTCTCTCTCTCTCTCACTTGCTCTCTCTGGTGAGTGCACATCCCCTATAGCAAATTAAAATAATAAAAAATAAATAACTTACTCTAAAAAGTTTTTTAAAAATTAAAAAAAAACTGAATATTTGAACAATACCAAGGTAGACACTCATGTTATACCTACATCAAAACATACTATCAGATGAAAATAAACTTTCTATATAAATAGTAAACTCATTTGGAAAAGTAAAAGAAAATATGGTAGACTACTGAAATGATTTCAAGATAGGAAGAACTTTCTACACAAATGAAAAAAATTAAGTGAAAAGATTCAAGATTTGATACACACAGATTTAAAATGAAAGAACATCAAAAATACTGTGAAAAATGAAAAGACAAATAATAAATCAAGAAAAATATCGGAACAAATATGACTAAATATTTTAAGAGCATTTGTACAACAATAAGAACAAAGACTAATATGCTATTAGAACAATGGAGGGCCATCCCCATAGTGCAGTGGTTAAGTGCTGTATGTTGAGGGCCAGATTGTACACGTCTAACTGTAGTTCTAATCCAGGCCCCAGTACCTTGAAAATCATACCAGGCACATGCATATAGATGCCCCAAATCCTAACAGGATGGAGAAATGGAGGAAAAAGGATTGCAGTGCTACCATGCCTTATTGGAGGGTGCTTTCTCTCCTTCTGTTTCTCTACCTGTCTATCTATCTCCCTCTCTCTGGCAAGCACATATACCCTCTAGCAATAAAAATAAAAAATAAAAGAACAATAGAAAAGAAACTTGAACAGAGAACTCACAAAACTGCAAGTGACCAAAGATATTAAAAAAAAAAATTCACCCTCAATAGTCATTTTAAAAATGTAGTTTCATCCAGGATGCTGTTTTTCTTCCTGTTAAGGTCATACTGTTTTTTTGTAATTAAGTTTACTTCTTCTATGAGTGGGAGAGAGACAGAGACAGCACCCTCAATAGAGTCTTGACACCATAATTCACTTCCAGCCTTTAGCAAGCCCCAAATCATGGGTACAGTGTGCCAGGCATACTGAGAGAGATCTCTGGACGTGAACCTGGAACTATCCCATGTGATTCAGTCTCCCAGAGTGTTGTGTTTGCCTGCTATGCCACTGGCTAGCTTGAGCTTTTTTTTTTTTTTTTTTTTTGAGAGTTTTTTGCCATAGGGCAACTTAGCAGTTCCGCTAACTGCTGGTCCTGCCACTGGCTAGTTTTAAATCACACTTTTCTTCATTTTTAAAAATTGTCTTTAAAACATACTTTAACTATCACAATGTGTGTATTCTTCCAAAGTTATCTTTGGCATCATTGTTTTTGTTTTGTTTAGTTTACATTTTTAAAATTTATATTTAACCACTGTACATCTTTAAAGTATACAATATGGTTTTTCTCAGCATAAATAAAGTGCATATTAGTTAAGTCAAAGATATACCATGTACATTATCATTGACGGATAACTTTTCATATTTGTGTTTGTTAAATGTTTTGTTTTATTTTCCGTGATTATCTCCCTCCCACCCCCTATTACTCACCCTTTATTACCCACCCCCTCCTCTCCCTTTTATTTTACCTTCCAACCTCTCAGTTTCTGCTATAGATTGTAGACATTTGGTATTTATTAAGTGAGGACATACAATGCCTGTCTTTCTTCCTTTTTTTATTTTTTAAAAAAATATTTATTTATTTTACATTTTTTCACCGAACATCACCACAGCACACAAAATGCAATTTACCATTCAGCATACACTATAAAGTGGCATAGTCATACATGTTATCATCAACAAATAATTTTCCATTTCTTGTTTCTTGTATCTATCTGTATTTTTCCCGTATTTCTTACCCTCTGCCATTTCCCACTCTCCTCCCACACTGTCTCTGGTATCTGCAGTTGCTTTTCATTCCTCTATTTTTTCCCCACATTTAATTGATTGACAAAATATCTTAATTCATCTAAATACTTTCAATAGCAAGTTCAGGTGATATATAAATATCTGTGAACACATGTTGACTTAAGGCATGAAACTCTGTGGGTAGAATGAATATACTATAAAGTAGCACCTAGCTGAGGCAATATAGCTTACTGTGGTCATTAAATAGATCTTTTTTTAAATATATTTTTTAATTTCAAGAAAAGCAGTTTTAGCTTTAATAAATCAAAATAATAAAACGTTAAGGGAACTTTGGTTAAAACTTAAAGCCAGGAAACAGGTTAGGATTCTGCTCTAATAGTAGGTACATGGGCCTGTCCACAACTCAAGAGAAGACAAAAATCCTTAACTCTGGAAAGCAAAGCATAGAAGAAGATCGGTATTATTTTAGTCAAAAGTTATAAGATTCTATTTCACCAGTTCAACTCATGTACTTTATCTTCTATTGCAGTCCGATCTTTCCATTTAAATTCTGGAAGATAACGTTCAACTCTGGACTTATCCCTACCTTTAAGCTGGCCATTTTCTTAGTTGTTTCAGAACACTTATTTCTCTGTGTCTGACTTTAGTTTTCCTGAGATAGCACTCCCTTCAGAACTGCTTGGAGAACTGGTCTGGTGTGGGTAAATTCT